ACAAGTAGTCGCATAAGAAGGGAATACTGCTATTTTCCCTAGTAGCAGAGAAGGTGCCACAGAGTCTCCTTTACATTGTCCTTTTAAACAAATGATTGCAATGCATAAAACCCACAATAAAAGAAAACCAGACCAAACAAATTAGCAGTCCAGTGAACAAGGCTAAATGCATAAGACATGCTCAATGATTTAACTGAAAAACAGATATATGTAGCAGTGCTATACTGTATGCATTATACTATAAACCAAAAAATACAAATGTACCAAATACCAAAACAGGAGGATTAGCAAACTTTGTGGAAACTGAAAATGAAAGTTATAAAGTTATGAAAAATACTTGAGTGTTTATGTTAACACATACACCTTACAATTACATCTTCTAGACAATGTGGTAAAGCAATAAAAAAGTAAACAGAAAATTAGGATACATGGTTAAAAGCACAAACTTTCTTGTATTATTGTATTAAAATTGTGTGATAGAGACCTCATTTAGAATATTGTGTACAATTTTAGTAATCTTGTTATAAAAAAAACATTGTTGATCTCAAATCAGTCCAGAGGTGTAACAAGATACATATTAATGCTTATGGGAAAAGTCCTACATTGACTATATAATAATGTAAATAATAGGAATACATGAAAATAAAAATAATCTAGGAAAATAAGAGAATAAATAAAGATATTATACAATTATAGTTGGAAAGATATCATGATATCTTGAAGCAGAATTATATACTGTGGATAAAATGTCTTGTGAAATCAAATCTGGAGCACAAATAAGGCTATATGACTATATCAGCTGCTGACTTTCCTTTCTCACACCCCAAGAAGGCTCCACAGCTGAAATGTTGTGTTTGTTTTCTTCTCTTTTCAGCATGCAATAAATCTTTACTTGTTCCTTTGAAGACTACTGTATATGACAACATGAGCCAAAAAGCCTCCTTGCATTTTTAAGTATTACTATTTTCTCATGTTCTAAGCTTAAGGACTCCTCAGGCAATGGAAAGCAATGTCCTGCTTAAAAGCTTTCTTCATTGAAGAAGATGGAAGAATTGTTTTTTCATATACAGTATATTCAAGTTCCCGATCCATAATTATTTTCACTTTTCAATAATTTTCACACCTTTGTGAAAGTACGAATCAGAGCACAAGCATTTAAAAGGAGAAGTTAGCCGTACTGAAGATGCTGAAATACTGTGATAGAGTGATGATTTTGCAATAGGAAGTTAATCAGTACGCAATATCTGTTCATAGTTCTAAGTTCCAAATCCTGGCAATACGTTATTTCAGATGTCATTGATTGGTTAACTGCCACTTGCAGTTCATGCTATAGCCATCTCAGAAACCAACAAGGGCAAGGTGGGGTACACCCTGGGCAGGATGCCAGTCCATCACAGCTCACTAAAGGAGAGAAAACTGTTTTGCCTGTGATGAACACTATAAAAGCTCACTTTTCTTTTGAGTGATGACATTTCTCTGCTATAAGACATACACAAAAGACTGCACGCACTAACTCACTGCTCAGGACAGAGGCCTCCACACAGCCACGAGCTGCACAACAACATCCATCACTGAAAAAACAACAGCCACTGTGTGCCTGAGCTGACAGATCAGGCCAGCAAACTGGACTTGGAGGAACTGGACTGCAAGTGGCATACTGCATGTCATTACTAGACCACAAACCCTTGTGACTCTATTGCTACACCAGAGGACAGGGTGACTTGTCAGACAGCTCTGAAATCTGCAATGGCAATTTAATCACTGCAACAGAGGAGAGTTTCCGTCCTGCAAGATGCTGCTAATAATAATACATCATTTGTTCTATTTCCAAATGATTATTGTGCAACCTGTTCCCCAATGTGTTAAATAGAAATTCTGTGGACAACAAAATTAATCCAATATTTATTTTTACCCAATATTAATCCAAATATTATCAGCATTGTTTAGGTAAAAATGTATATTTTTAGAGAGCACAAACATACTGTAGGTTGATGCTCAATAATAATTATGAATATGTCCATGTAACAGGCACAGCTCTTCCAGGATTGGATCATGACACTTGTGATCAGAACGAACAAAGTGTTTTTCCTTCAACCAAGGAGAACCTGCTACCCTGCCAAGAGATGCCAAAGATGTCCGCAGGGTCCAGTTTTCAAGTGGGTGATGTCACTGTTACACCTGCACTAAAGAGTTAGTACGGGCTTCACTTTTGATTTTCAGAGAGTCCAGTATTCACAGAAAAGGTTATTGTTTGACAAAATATGTATATTTATGTAAATATTTCAGGTGGGTAGCTGTGTCAGCATACGTAGGCTGCAAAGGAACAAGTAATAGGTTTATTCCATGCTAAAAAAAAGAAGAAAGAAAACAACGTTTCGGCCGTGGAGAGAGGCTGAAGAAGGCTCCACGGCCAAAACATTGTGTTTTCTTTCTTCTTTTTTTCAGCATGGAATAAACCTATTACTTGTTCCCATTTATGTAAATAGATCAGGTGGGGAGGCTGAAAAGGAACACATAATAGGTTTACTCCATGCTGAAAAGAGAAAAAAAACATAACGTTTCGGCCGTGTTGTGTTTTCTTTCTTCTCTTTTCAGCATGGAATAAACCTATTACTTGTATTTACTGCATGTAAATAGTTCAAGTAGGTAGCTGTGTCAGCATGCATAGGCTGCAAAGGACAGGTAACAGGTTTATTCCATGCAGAAAGGAAACACAACATTTTGGCTGTGGAGCCTTCTTCAGGTGGCTTCTTCTTCTTCACACCGGAAGAAGGCTCCACAGACGAAAAATTGTGTTTCCTTTCTTTTTTTTTTCAGAATGGAATAAACCCGTTACCTGTTCTTTTATGTAAATATACATTTTCAGAGTAACTATGACCCTATTTGAAAAGGTCACAAAAATAACACAGATTTAGGTTAATCTTCATAAGGTAAGAGTACATACTGTACATACTATGTGGCACAGAGAAAAGCTGAAAATGGATGAGCAAACTAGTTCACATTGTAAGTTTCTTAGTTTAAATAATTGAGGGGCAATAAAAGTGTTTAAATTAACATTATCCTCTCGATATCTTATTATTTATATCCCTGTTAATCCAATGTCTGTAGCACTGATTCCAATCTGTGAATGTAGTTTATAGGGTATTATAACAGTTTAGCATATGACCTTTAAGAAAAGATATGGGCTATTTTTTGGAGTTGGGGAGAGGGGGCTAGCAGATTTTTTTGCAAAACACATGAGTGACCCTATTTGTGTTCCATAATGAGCATGACTACACTCATCGACCAGAAGAATATGGCTGTCATATCACAAGACCAATCAGTTTTATTCAGCTGTGAACTAAAATTCACAGGCTATTCCTCATTAGTTCCACATTAATGTGAACATATGTCTCAGCATATAAAAATTTATACATATTAACCAGACGTGAAATTTGAGGGGCCTATATTAGCCATGGTTTTTAATGTAGCAACTTCCATTAAGCAACTTTGAGGAAAAAAACACTATTACAGTTTACATATACAATAACATTTTATTTTTAACCAAGCACCTCCAGGAAAAAAAAATACAGATCTAATATGGCTGAAAAAAACGTACGAAAGATCAATTTTTTACTATTAATCCGGCAACATAAGGAGATGAAAAGTTACAAATATTCAAAGGATTGTATAGGCCAAAAGGTGAATGAGTAATAATGAGGCTAAAAGATTGCATGATATGATGGCCGTATTGGATATTTAAGAATCTTCAATAGTGAATACTGAGCCATATTTCTGCAGTGTAACGTTGAAGGGTAAATAGGGTGAGTTTTCTAAACTATACTGGAATTACTGTTGCCTGTACCAGAGAACCTCAGATTAAAAGAACAATTCAGTAAACACCCGAAAACAATACGACCTAACCACCTTTGGTAGTTCCGTGAAAAGGCTGTTTCTGGAGTCTGCGCAATACGTCGATTTGGCGTTGAGCAGAGCTGAGACTGAAGCTCTAAAGTTAAAGACCAACGCTTGTGAAACGGCAAAAGTTTCCTGCCGCAGGTAAGAATGATTCACGTAACAAATCATGGACAAGTTATGTTTCTCCAAAGGGGATCTCGTTGTTATCCTAGAGATATTTTTTCCACATCTTTAAAAATTCGCATTTCTCGTAAAATTTGCGTTGTAAGCTGTATTTCTACTTCAAGCGAAGGCACTTACTACATAATTAAAAGCAGACACATTTTAAGTAGCGCTAATGTAAGTGTTAGACACGTACAGTTTTCATTTTTTTTTTGTTAGTGTATTCTGATATTTCATGAACTTCTTCTTAAAACGTTTTAATGTTAAGTGTTTAATTTCAATTTCTTATGATTTTGGCATTAGCCTATTTTTTCCCCGAAATTAAGCTACATAGATTTCTTATTGGTATCATGAATTAGGAAATGTGCTTGCTAAAACCAAATTTTGTGCGTTTCATGCGGTAAACTGTTTAAATATCGACATGTTTTGTTTGTCTGACCATTAACTTTCCTACTGTTTATTAATGCCCACTTGAACTCTGAATATTACAATTACATTCCACCGTTATTTGGATATTAAAACGGTTTTTGTAGTCCTGAGGGATTCAGCTTTCATGCGATTTTTATCTATTTTATGCAATTACTTACGGCCTTTTCGAAATTACTGTACGGAATTGTGTGTTACAAATTTGTACATGTAAATCTCGACATTGTACATTGTTTTAGATGTATTAAATATGTTCCCTGATTTAATATTCTATTAATGTTAGTTGGATACATTTACTGTACAGTATATTTGTTTTGCCCTTTTCTGCTTCAAAAAGGACCAGTCAATACATTTACGGTTGAAAGTATTGTTTTAAGCACTGCAGTGCATGGTTAATTCATGGTAATTGATTTTACTGTTACAAACCCAGGTGGAAATCTGGAAAGTAAAAAATGTTACTTTTGAACCTTCAGTCAGTTTTACCTTGGACGTTCACCACAAGAAAATCCAGTTAACACAGAAGCATATTGGAGGTTTACCTTACCCTTCTGCGATTGATTATGCAATGTATCATAACCTCCATTGAGAACCTCTCTACTTCTCCTCTACATCGCTACAAAATAAAATAACTGATATACAGGTGCTTGGAGTTAATAAGAGGTAAAGACATTTAGTTAAATTTTAGGATTCTTGCCTCCTACAGATTCAATAAAAGAACTGTTTTCTATTATAGTACACAATATACTTGTGTTATATTAAATGTTATTTCTATAAAAATAAGACCTGTTCTCAGATTCAGTGTGTAATGGATTTTACCAGATCCAAAGGGAAGAGGTGTAAATTTCTGAGTTTACTGAAGGAAGGGATTTCATGGTGTTTAAGCCTTTGTAAGGTCTGTGCAATGGGAGACCCCAGGAGTGTGATCAAAGAGGACAGATGGGATGTACGGAAAGACATAGGATTGCTGAATGGAGAATTGAAAAGAAAGGGAACCTCCTCACACTCAAGAAGGGAGCAGAACTCCTCTGACAGGTATGGCCTCTCTTACTCAGCTATGGGTAATTTACTGCAGAGGATCCCTTATTTTTTTCTTGTCTTCATTCTAAGTGCATCCTTAATTAATAGTGTTCTTGAAAACTCGCATTAAGCTTTTCTCTTGATTAGATCTTTTCTTAGCTGTTTTAAGAAGTGGTGAAAAAATAATCTCTTACCGTGTGCTGGATTTCAGAATTTCTCTTATTTGGAAATATTTTTTAGCAATTAGGCCCTCGCAAAACTACAATGGGTAAATATAGGAGAGAAATCTAATCATAATCCAGTGCAACCACATTGCAGTAAAATCAAGTGAATGTCTCACAAGGAAGTTAAAAACCTGATAGAGGTTTTAAATACAATATCATGAGTTGTAATATTGAATAGAGCTGCTTGCACTATACTTGTTGGCGGACTTTGTATCATAAACTGCTGTTTTTGAAGCAGCAGTGTTTTAGTGAAGAGGGAAACTGGAGAAGTCTGTGCAAAAAAAATATTCTCATCTTGGCTTTTTTCCTTAAAAGCCATGTGAGGATCTACACGCATTTTATTTCTGTGAAGACTGAAATATCAATGCAGTTGATATTAAAATGACAAATACTTGGAGGTCATTCATTGTGCAGCCCCAGTGTTGAAATGAAACTTTGCTGGACTGGACACCTCTTGAAAAGCATTCCGAATAAATATTTTTTTTCACTGAATTACTTTTGAATTGCCCACTAGTTATACTTAAAATGGTGTGATTCGTTTATTGATACTGAGTTGCTGCAATGTGAAGTATTCTAAAATAAAAACTTAAGTAAATCAATAATAACACAAATAAACATGCATCTAGGTCAGCAAAACAAAAAATGCATTACAGCTTTCTAATAAAAGCATAAACGGCAATCAGCTCTTAACAGGTAATGCCTCATTTTTTATTATGAATTTTTCACCATCAGGAAACGAAAGAAGGATACCTCTCAAAAAAGTAAAAATGAAAACAAGGACCGATCATCTATCAAACGCACAAGTTCAAGGATGGAGCAGGTATTACAGTAGAACAGATGTATTAATTCCAGATATACCTATTTTGTAATGCTTCTATGAACATAACACTTTTGCTTTTTCAGGAGAAATCCCGGTGCTCAGAACCACATGGGAAGTCTGTTCAGGAACACAGGTTTGTTAGGTGAGCTTTCCTTTGCAGTGGATGAATTTTAAGGAAATTAAAGAGGAATTGCAGTCCCCAATCCCAGTTTCTCAGACAGGTTATTAAATCTCTGTAACAAATAAATTCATTGACGTTATAGAAAAAAAACTACCAATTTTGAATTAAGCACAAAATCGGGAACTTAATGAAAGTACCGTAAGTCACCATGTTTTCTCAAACTCGCATTTGAGTTTGCATAAATTGCAATGTGATGCGACCCTTCCTGCTCACTCGTCTCCTTAATGACTAAAGTAATGTGATGCACGAACAAATAAACACAGGTTGTGCAGCAGGCATTTCACCGCAGAAATATCCTAATGTGGTCTGCATGCAGAGTTAACAAGTAATATTTCTTATTGGATTGAAAGAGATGTAATCACAAGCCTACTTATTTACAATGTCATAGGGCTGCACACATCACCGGAAGTTTTGTTACCTTGTTCTGAATCACAGAACATGATGCTGTACATACCTGGCAGTTTTGTCTATTTTGTGATGTAAATTGGAGGTTTTACAAGTTATTTTACTTTTATTGTAGTTTGAAATGCACTCATCAATGCTGATTCTTTCTAACCCAGAAATATGAAAATAGCATTGCAGTTGCAGTTCCCCTTTAATAATGTAATTTCAGTCTATATTTGTGTAAATTAGGTTAGAAATATCTGTCTGTAGTAAACAGAATATGTGAATTTAAGTTTCAGTCTTTGGATTGAATGGTGTTCTCAATATTCAGATGCCATTTCCAGTGTTACATTTGCAGTCATTTGTAGATGTTTTTATCAGTTAATTATGTACATAACCATATTAATATTTCTGAAATACCACCTCTGCATGGCATTTAATATCCTTTTCATTATTGATTTGCACAGATGTAGTTCTCCAAATTCCAAATGTGTGTACAGTATTCATCACACTTCTCATTTTGTCCTTAAGGAGAGTTCCAAACTGAAAGTTGCTTATAATGTATGAAGGAATTTCACATTATCTGTGGTGTTTTCTTACCTGGACAATGCTGGTAACATACCTGAATTGGTCTTTCAGAACTATAGGTTATCTTTCTGTTTTTGTTTGGAATTTTTTCCTTGCCCCCCCAACCCCACACACGCACACACCTCCAGTCAAAGGGCCTGTTTGCCGGAATCTGAGCACTACAGCAGAAGCACTGTGCAATAGGCATTGGACCTATCAGCACATCAGCTGCCAAGACTCTACCTGCCTGGGGTCCATGGCAAATCGTTGGCTGAAGACAGTAATCAAGACAATTGTGTGTTAGCAGTGAAATGCTGAACAAGGGAGTGGTGTGCTGGAACCCAGTTATACACAGGTTCATGTTACTGCTATTCTGAACAAGTTATGCAAGGTTGGGAACAAAATCTAGATTATCTGATGGTGCAGGTTCTCATACTGTTCCCTCACAAGTCCAAAGTACCACAGTGGCCACAGAACATGTTAAATGGACCTTATGTGAGAGGAGGTTGGATTAATGCATGTCCCCCACCACTCTCTATCAGTGGTATGGCCTCAACAGGAGAATACCCAAACTATAATCTGACAACTGCGATAGAAGCTCCATGCAATGAGCACATCGACAGTAGTCTCTCCTGTTCCTTCTCCACAGCATTATACCTGTGAGTACAGATGGGGTCTTCGAAAATGAAAGACCATAAAAGGCCAGTATCCAATGAAGGCAGGGGAGGGAACACAACTCCAAAATTATTTTAACTGCAGTGAGAAAGGGTTATTACCTGTAATGGGTTTATAAGTACAGAAAAAATGAAAGGGAGAAAGCCATTTTTTCTGGGCATTTGTGGATCTTTGTGGAGCATGGAAAATATTAAGCTTCTTAATAGGTACAATAGTTTCATTTCAGTTGATGGATTTATGAGAATTTCCTTTTGCAATACTTTTTTTCACAGAATTACTTGTGTGTGTGCTTCAGTTTAATATCCTATTTTTGTATTTGGTAGTTATGAGAAGTCCAAATGGCCTGAAAGAACAGCACTAGGAAATAGTGAAGATAAAACCAACATAATAATGGTAAGATTGTTCTTTGCACATTAAATCAATAGTGTCTGCTAGATCCAACTACTTCACATCATTGAAAATCACCAATGCAACCCCAGACATCTTTTCTCCACCATCAACAGCTTGCTAAAGCCAAACTGCCCCACCACATCAACTGCCTCATTGCAACTTTGCAACACATTCTTAGATTTCTTTAGTTCCAAGATTGACAACATCCGGCATCACATTCTCTCCACTACGCATATAATTTCCATACCTCCTCCCTCCTTATCCAACTTTTCTGTTTCCCTTTTCTACAATCTCTCTCTTCTTGACTCGTCATCCCTCAATAAACTAGTTATACACATGAAACCCACCACATCTATTTTAGATCCCATTCCCACCACTTTATTTCAGTCCTGTTTCTCTTCTCTCTGTCCCTTTGTCTTCAATATTATAAATGAATCCTTACCAACGGTCCTCAAAACTGCTGCCATTACTCCCGTGCCAAATAAAGCCTAACATGGTTCTCGACAATCTTAACAGTTTTTGCCCCATCTCCAACTTACCCTTTCTTGCAAAAATTCTAGAACGTGCTGTCACATTTCAGTTACATAACCACCTCATAACAAATAACCTTTTTGAACCCCTCCAATCTGGTTTCCATCAACTTCACAGCATGGAAACTGCCCTGATCAAAGTTACTAACGATCTTCTAATAGCTTCTGATTATGGTTCTCTTTCTATACTCATCCTTCGTGATCTGAGTGCTGCTTTTGACACTGATGACCATTGCATCTTACTTTCTCGTCCTGAGACTGTTTGGAGTTTCTGACACTGCTCTCAAATGGTTCAAGTCTTACCTCACTGATCGCTGTCACTTTGTCTCTCTTAATGGGTATAGGTCTGAAATTGGTCTTATTAAGTCTGGTGTTCCTCAGGGCTCAATACTGGGCCCTTTGCTCTTCAGCATTTATATGTTTCCACTTGGCCTCAGCTATCATTTCTACGCTGATGATACTCAAATATACATCCATACCAAACCTGACACTGATGTGGTTGTCTCTATTCTAATTGCATCTCTGACATTGTGGGGCGGAGCGGTGGCATCTGTGCCTGTGGCTGGAAGGTTGCCGGTTCAAATCCCATGGCCGGCAGAGGAATCCTACTCTGTTGGGCCCCTGAGCAAGGCCCTTAACCCCAACTGCTCCAGGGGCACTGTACAATGGCTGATCCTGCGCTCTGACCCCAAGCTTCTCTCCGTGTCTGTCTCTCATAGAGAGCAAGCTGGGGTATGCAAAAACACAAATTCCTCATGCAAGAAAGTGTATATGGCTAATAAAGTGATCTTATCTCTTATCTCTTAAAAAAACTTGAATGGCTCAAAATTTCCCTCATCTTAACTGTGACAAGACTGAAGTCATGCTTATTGCCCCCCCCCCCACCATCAACTTCGTAAAGCCAGTCCTGTAACCCTATCTGTAGATGGTTTTGTACTTGAGCTTCAGTCAAAATTGAAAAACCTTGGGGTGATATTCGATTCTGGCTTAACATTCAACCCACATGTGCAGCATATTGTCAAAACATCTTTTTTTCACCTCAGAAATATCGCTAGACTACGCCCTATGCTATCACTAACTATGGCTGAAAAGCTGATCAACACATTTGTGTTTTCTACTGTTGAATTGACTACTGTAATTCTATACTTGCTGGGGTATCTAAATCTACTTTGAACAAACTGCAGTATGTAAAAAAATCAGCAGCCAGAATCCTGTCCAGGTCTAGTGCAAGTGATCACATTACTCCTATCCTGGAGTCCTTGCACTGGCTTCCTGAAAATTCTGTGTGGACTTTAAAGTCCTCATGCTCACCTATAAGGCTCTGCATGGCTTGGCACCTCAGTACCTGTCTGAACTTTTATCGCCCTACTCCCCACCTCGCAGCCTTCGCTCTTCTAATTCTGATCTCCTTACTGTCCCCCAAGCCTGTCTACATTGTATGGGTGACAGGGCCTTCTCCTGCCACCAAGCTCTGGAACTCTCTGCCCAAGCATATCAGAGAGTCACCTTCTCTAAACTCCTTCAAATCCAGACTCAAAACCTTCTTCTTTAGAAGAGCCTTTACTTAACTGGTTCCATTCTTCACCCCTCTGCTTTTCTTAGTACCACCATCCACGGTCTCCTGTGTATATTGTAATTGTGTTTTATCTTGTGTAGTCTTTTTATTTATTGTTGTTGTCATTCTGTAAAGTGCTTTGAGAAGCCACCTTTAAAGGCACTATATAAAATAAAGTTTATTATTATTAATATTAAATTGGCAGTTCTATTATGCATTCAAATCAATCATTAAAAACCTAAACCAAGCTATATGTCTTTGACTATATAATTAGGTTGAAGATATATGCAACTTCATGATCCAGTAGCTTAATGAAACTATATCTTGTTTTCCATAAAAAGCGTTATGAGAGTTTGCTACATATTTTCATCTATAAATCTAAAATCTATACATTTTCTGCAATTTGCGTTCTACCATGTTACAAACCCAGTAATTCTTCATTCTTTCTTGAAGACGCAAGACCAAATTTTGGAAGTGATTTTACTTCTAAAATTTGTTGACTTATAATGACTCGTCTTCAATGGCTAGGTTGTAACTATTGATTTTAGTCTTTTGGGAAGATAAGAAAAGTTACAATTAATAGTAGGCAATTCCATCCATCTTAAGGAAAGAGTAAGGAAAGAGTGACCCTTGTCTGGGGGTGATTAGAAAGGGAATAAGCATGTAAATATTTCTGATTTTGTTGGAGAACACACTGCTTAAGTTGGCTCACTTTTCACAACTTGCAAATTAATGTTCTAATATACCCATAAATCTTCTGAATACATGTTCTTTATTTCCATGCATATCTGTCGGTCCAAAATTAAGTAGGTTTACAGGAGATAACAGTTTAATTCAGATTTTTTTTAAAACGCCATGTTATTATTTGCAACCACAAAGCAATAAAGCCGTAAAAATAGAAATGTGAGTGACAACCTGTGGATGCCTTTTGAATTAACTATTCAAGGGTGCAGGGGTGTGTTGTAATACTGGCACTCCTATGTTTTGCAGCTGTTGTTGGGTCAGTAGACTATAACCAGTGTATCTTTTGTTTTTGCAGGATCATTCCTCTGTTTCTGATGATGAGTAAGTGGTCACTTGGGCTGAGAAATTTAGATTAGAAAACATTTGCTAATAAAAAACATTTCATATTAAGTTTACCAATTAGGAATAAAGCACTTCAATACTATTTCTGTTGTGTTGATCACAGTTAATCGGGTTCATGAAAATGATTTTAAGATTATTCAAACTAAGCATTAATTAGTTTATTTAAATTTCATGAGCGATATGACAAAACCAACTAGTACCTGTGATTGCCTTTCAGTATGGAGGAGACCCCAGGATTTCTGGATATGAATAATAACATCTCCGCAGTGAGTAGAGAGGAGCGGCACAGTGACCGTGCACTTTGCTCTGAGAACCAAAACGAAAGGTACTATGACATTTAACCATTATTTGCTTCGGCCCGCTGTGCCTCAGTAATGATAAGAAAGATAGTAATAATATGGGGTTTCAGTGAAATATGTTTTTGTTTTGTGGATCTTTGGAATACAGTATGTACATACAGCAGTTCTGAGTTATAACACTTTCAAGTATTAAAACATTTTGGTAGGTTATTTAAGTACGTTTTGGATAGCTATTAGTTTTTAAAACATTTCAAAAACCTACAAATGTAAACATAAATAGGTGAAAATGTTTGTCATAATAGGAATGTAGAGAAGTTTTACTCTGGCAGTCACTTGGGCAATATTAAAATTATAAAAACTATTTTTTTGTCTGATTTCATATATCTTTATACATTTCTGTAATGTGTGCATACAAATTGCTCTCTGCAATTACCTCACTTAATATATTTAATTATAGTAATGTGACATCATTAAGTACAATATCATAATATAATACAGTAACAAGTATTTCTATGCAGGTCAGAGGAAAAATCAGATGTGGAAAAGAACAAAATGGTTCACAAAGTCGAAAGGAAAGAGGTAGTTTTAACCCATCTTGTTTGTCTAAAGCAAGATTAAATACATCTGGCAAATCTGGCATTCTCTATCTTGTACATATCATGCTTTTAATTTTTAAATGTACATTTCATAACAACCAACACATAGCACATTTCTAAGAATAAAAAAGCATAGTGTCAGGGATTTGGAATTTAAGTTCTTGTTATGATTCTTATGTTGTTATTATAGCAAAATAATTAATGTTTTCCATTTTGTCTTCCTGTAAATTAAAAGCATTTCTTGAATTTACAATGAAGCCAACAAAGATGTATTATAGTTTATGTAAAGCACAGAATAACTGTTCAGATTATTAATCCTAACTTTTAAAATATTTACTGTTGATTGTCGTAAAATTTGTTACCCCCACTGAAATGGCAGCTCCCACCGATGTGCACCAGTTGGCAAAGAAACTATTTTATTCTAAGTGTAAGTCATTTATTTACTGCAGAAAAATTGCAAAGCGAACAAAACAAGGGATGGAACCACAGAGCACAGCGACAGTCAGTCAGACCCTGGAGCTGAGGAAGAGGATGGTAACAACGCAATGAATAGGGAAGAGATACAGAGGGAGGAGGGAGGAAAATCAAGGGACAGTAAAATGGACAAGCCTTCAAAAAGTGGGAAAAATAAAGTAAAAAAAGAAAAGGAACAGCAGTCCAAGTTCACAGACAACAGCAAAGAGCAGAGGGCAAGGGAGAAGAAAATAGATGAAGCAGAGGAGAGAAAAAGGAGAAAACTGCACAAAGGAAAGAAGGAAGAGGATGGAAATCCTAGGAGAGGGGATGAGAAGAAAAAAGATGTGAAAAAATCTAAAATTGCCAAAGATGAGCCTGAGGAAGGGGGTACTGCCAAAAAGAGGAAGAGAGAGAACAGAGAGGAGGAGAACAAGGAAAAGAAACTCAAGAAGGAAGAACAAGAGAAAAAGAAACAGGAAGAAGAAGCAAATAAATGGAAATGGTAAGTGTGTGGTAGCAAACTTGAATCGGACTATAGTGCAACAGTGATGTGCACACAGTGTACACTTGATCACAAGGATCCATTTCATTGTATTTAATCTTTTTTTTTCATGTGTTCTTGCCATGGTGTCTGCGTTACGTACTGTACTTTTGTAACACTTTGTTACTCTTAAAATACTGGAAATGTCTTCAAGAGTTAAAATATCGGTTCAGTTTTTCTGGAGTTAGTGTTTACAGTGGTGAAATAGTTAACTTTCCCTTATATATAAATCACAGACTTTCTGTGGATTTATTGTTTGGCGTTTTTGAGTAAACCTCCACATGTACACAGAGAGGACAATATAGTACAGCAGTTGTTTTCCAGAAAATTACGATGTCCTTTGAACGTAAATGTAAAAATTTTGCGTGTGTAGAAAACCTTTATCTTGGCAAAAAATGTATATACCTTTGGACAAAAATGTATAGGATTAAACATTACGATCGTCGTTTAAAGATATTGGAGTTACCTAGGTTCCAAATGTAAAAGATAAAATGAATAGGATGTACATTATATGTCAAATTTGACTGTAAACAGGTTCATTATATTATCGTTATTTAAAGATAATTTAAATACGTCGTGAAGCTTGGGAAGATTTTATTTTCTCGTAAAGATGATGACCTTGCGGTGGAATAATTGTAGATGAAGGAGGTCATTTTTTTCATCTGCCGTTATGTGTATAATTGCGGGTTCCGAAAACTTTGTTTTCACTGGGGCGAAATTACATGCTGCACCGGGAGTCCTACAGTTTGAAGCGACTCCGCTGTATCGACTCCATGTGTGTTTTGATTCCGTGTACCGAATTATACATCTGGAATGATCAACTGTGTCTTTGGGACATCTTTGTTGATCCGTTGCTACCTGAGGTCTAGCAGACTAACAGGCCTCTTAGTGTGCTTGGTACACAGTTTTCCATGCCTTGGTTCCAGCTACTGGAGATCAGTGAAGACTGCAGCGATGAAGATAAAGTCAAATATTTAGACTGGTTCTGGAATGTTACTGTTTTTGCATTTAATTCTGGAATAAAAATCCAATCTAGAACTGTGTATATAACTAAATATCTGAAATTATGTTTCCAGAATACGGATTGGTCTTTATTTAAGTTACCTGAACTAACCTAGGTCTTTAATTATTTTCCCCCGACAAATAATATGATCATTACCGATTTCATCATTGAATGCAGGGATAGAGCTCCGTGTAAATTAAGTGTTAAAGTTAAGATACTTTCTGCCTTTAGGTAATTATTTAGCCTCAACACCAGACACAGTAGTGGGCAGCAGTGGCCATGAGTGTCTGAAATATTCGCAAGTGGAATGCAGTGTACACCAAGTTTTAATTGCAACTACAGGTACTGGTACTGTTTATATCAGTTCAAGTTGGATCTGTCTGATGAACATTAATCTGAATATGTTTTTGTGATCTCAAGAGTTATCTAAATGTTTGTATGAAAACACGACCATTCAGGTAATAGGCTTCTTAATAACTGTTTTTTTTAAGTAATAGACATTTGTCTAAATGTGATGGCAGCTTGTGTCTACCTTTCACTACACCAGGAAAGCCTCACAATGGTTAAGCTGTGAGCCTCTTGCATATCTTGCACAGCTTTAGTGAATCTGCATATCAGATAGTAAGGTTGCTATGAGCACAGTTGCATTCTCCGAATTATTGTAAAGGTTTGGAAACAATACTTATGTAGAGGATAACAGTGATATTTGTTTCTACTTCACTGTATCCTCTGTTCTATTAATAATGAAGACTGAATAGCTGTTATATCTTATAAAATCATGTATGATGTCGGCCTCTTTAGTTTCCCTTATACGGTACTAGAAAAACTTGTACATGTGATGTGGTGGTTGTGCATTGTCTTGTAAATCAAGTTGCAGTACATATGCGAACCACTGCTTAAAGTTTGGTAAATCTGTGCTCTGAAACCTGTGCACTACTAGGAAAGCTCTTGAAAGAAACAACAATATTTAATATGCCAACACTCTTATTAGGAAGTACACAGCTTTCCTTGTAAAAAGAGAATATATTGGACTGCCATCAAACTTGGACATCAATGTAGTTGGCTCCGGACATAGTAGATATTAACCTAGGAATACACTATAGAATTAACAGGTCTTTTAAGTCCAAAGCTTACATGTACAAGGAATTCCCAAATTTGTGAATGGAACTGTACATAGTGGTTAACAAATTACCATTCTTGATGGTAAGCAACAATATGAAGTGGGAATTTTTGTACTTAGGTGTATTTTGTGTCCATTTCAGATTGCTGGAGTTCAGTATTTTTACACAGTATCACAGATTTACAGCAGAATGTGTACAAATGCAAATGTCTATCTTGAAAACATCAGTCTCTTTACTCTCAAACATGCCTACTTTATTCCCTTTTTTAAATTTGTGTCAGCTTCAGGAAATAGTAATTAAATTTCCTTTTCATTAAAAAATATATAGTGCCACTCATAAATTTCATAGTTGTTTATTACTGTCGTTTATCTTACAGGTGATCCAAGTGCCACTCTGAGCTGTGTATATATTGTGAAGGTTCAGGGCTGCAGTGAGCTGTGCACTTCTGTGTTTCAGGTGGGAGGAGGGTCAATCTTCAGATGGCACCAAATGGCAGTTTCTTGAGCACAAAGGACCTCTTTTTGCATCAGAATATGAGCCTTTGCCTGAAAATGTTAAGTTCTATTACAGTGGTGAGTAATGGGCTGTGATTTATTTTACTTTTTTCTGACATTTATTTCATCAGGCAGTACTTAGAAGTGCCCTGCAAAATGAAAGCTGCTAATTTTATTTTGTCTGGGAAAAAAACATTTTTTTCCTGCTTTTACTAAATCCTGTTAGTACAGGAATAGTAACTGAAAGTGCTGAGAATTAGAAATTTTAACTCCATGGTGTATTATAAGGGGGTGTTTGGTGGGTATAGCTGTACTAATACAGGTTCAATGCTTTTTGATTTGCAGGCAAGCCTGTCAAACTCAGTTTGACTGCTGAGGAAGTGGCTGTGTTTTATGCCAAGATGTTAGACCATGAGTATACCACTAAAGAAGTGTTCCAGAAGAATTTCTTCCATGACTGGAAGCAGGTGCATATGTTGATTTTAAACTTTTGTAATCAGTTATTGACTGTCTGCCTGGATAAATCTAGTAGTAGATCACCAGTGATCTTTTGTCTTAGTGTTAATATATATTTTTAGGTCACTAAACAAAATGTTTTCATAATGTTGCAGACCAGTACCTACTTACTGTACTATCACCCACTGCTTTCCTTGCTTTTTTGTTACTTTTATGTGAACACTAAAAACAATGCTAATTGTCTCCTTTTTACCAGGAAATGACAGCTGAGGAGCAGAGCTTGATCAAGGACTTGTCCAAGTGTGACTTTAAAGAGATACACCAGTACTTTGAAAAGAAGACAGAGGAGAAGAAGGCAATGACCAAAGAAGGGAAACAAGTAATAATGTTTGTACTGCTGGGGATTTGAGGGATGGTATAATGTACTAGAAAGTAAGTTCTGCTTAACCTCCAGTGGACATATTGACATGGATGTTTGGCAACCTGAGAGGAGGCTAGACCTTATGGACAAAGATGTTTGTCTTTAATTTCCTTGGGTTAGGTCTGGAGTGGTGCAAAGGGATGAACTAAATAAGATTTAGAGTTTCCACACTAAAGACAAACAAGTGCATATTTGACAAATTGTGGCTAAGGATCTGCACCTGTGGCTGGAAGGTTGCCGGTTTGTATCCCGCAGCTGGCAGAGGAATCCTACTCCATTGGGCTCCTGAGCAAGGCCCTTAACCCCAAATGCTCCAGGAGTGCCGTATAAATGGCTGACCCTGCGCTCTGACCCCAAGCTTCTCTCCCTGTCTGTGTGTCTCATGGATAGTATGCGAAAAGACAAATTCCTAATACAAGAAATTGTATATGGCCAATAACGTGATATTAGATCTTAATCTTAATTAAAGGACACATTTCCACACTCTCTTCGTGTTAAAATGTACCACCACCTATTGGCAGGCTGTGATGTGCATATGGTCTGAATTTGTTAGGCACTGAAGAAGGCAGCAGAAATGGTGACAGAGGAGTATGGGTACTGTCTCCTGGATGGTCATCGAGAGAAGATCGGTAACTTCAAAATTGAGCCCCCTGGACTGTTTAGGGGTCGAGGGGATCACCCCAAGATGGGCAAACTAAAAAGGAGGATTCAGCCAGAGGATGTCATCATCAACTGCAGCAAGTGAGGGCGAGTGGCTGGACAGTACTAAGGATATTTAATCTGGAAAATGACATCTGTGGTATTGTTGTTCCAGGTCTTTGTTTTTTTTTCTTGGAATTTATTAAGGTACCTGCCCATTAAAATATTCTAGAGCAGGAGAATCAGTGCAGTGAAATTCTTGTGTAATCATTCTAAACTTCTGTTTTAGATTCTGCTTTCACCAATGTGTAAAAATTTAATCAGGAATTAAATGGAGATAATGTTTGGAACACATTTTTTCAGTTTTAGTCCATTATTAGTTAAATATACTTGTTTACTTATAAAGACTGAATGTACACAAAGTGCTAATCCAGCCTTTGTTTTCATGTTTACTTTTTATTTTTATTTCCCTGTTAACCACTTCCTTTCCTCTTATTGAAGGTCAAAGAATGGATATTTGTGACAGCCTTTGGCCTAGAATTGTGATTCCCACTTCTGTTTTACTACTTTCTAGAGAATCCAAGATCCCTGTGCCACCTCAGGGTCACAAGTGGAAGAAGGTCCAGCATGACAACACCGTGACCTGGCTGGCCTCCTGGGTGGAGAACGTGCAAGGGGGCATCAAGTACATCATGCTCAACCCCAGCTCCAAGCTCAAGGTCAGGAAGCACAGCCACAGGTTGTGGCTCTTTGCGTCTTGAGTTTGGAATCAAAGTTGAAATGTAGTTGTGTTCTACTTTTCTTTTTGTGGAAATGCCACACTCCACAACTGTAAAAAAGACTCTGCATTATAATACATGTTGGCAGCAGGAATCTTTCTCTATGCTGCAAAATCATGTAGGCTTACATTTCAGTTGAAATACGTTGTGGTGGGAATGATTGGTAAAGTGCAAATTTAAGATTCCACCCATCTGGTCAAGACTAAGGTTCTTTATTTTCTAGGATTTTTAGATAGGGTATACAAGAACAAATCTGCAGTTTCAAAAATAACTTTTTTTAATTGCAAACAAGGGAGAGACTTCCTTGGTCTCTGTGATCTGTAGTGATCCGAAGACAATGTTGTCATCTTTGACTGTGCCAGACTGCTGCTTTTGCTATTGATTTGCTTCTACAACAGAAGGTGTATATGGAGACATCTTGTTCAGATCACACATCTGTGAACCTGCACTGTATGAAAGGTTGTGTGCTGGTCTGTCTCTGTGTAGGGAGAGAAGGATTGGAAGAAGTATGAAGTAGCTCGGAAACTGAAGGACAAGGTGGACATGATTCGGCATCAATACCGTCAAGACTGGAAGGCTCGGGAAATGAAGAGAAGGCAAAGAGGAGTGGCTATATACTTCATAGACAAGGTGCCTTATTTATGTTTATTAAGGCACTCCCACAATCATACCTTATAGTCAGATGTGTGTTTATTGCTAAGTAGTACTGGTTGAGCATGCTGACGTGAACATTTTCTAAGGCTGTTTTCTTTCAAGATTCACTCTTTAGTTTGCCCTGCATAGCTTTGAGCATTAATGTCAAACAAGCCTTAACTCCTCAAGAGGAGACTCTTTCTTATGCAAAGGGTTTGAAGGAGTAGGGAAAAAGTTACTCAGCCATGGTTTTTTAAGCTGATAGCCTTTTTTTATAAAATGGCTAAGTGCTTTCTCTTTAAAAGTTTGAAAGTTTTGGTGTTTAAAAACTCCAGTGTTTGCAATGTCTATTACAAAGGGAGGACAAGGTAAACCAGTAAACTGTGTTTTGTGTCACCACTGTATGATACAATGTCCAGTTCTGAGCAAGTATGCAGCTGACAAGTAAGTTTCCAGCTATCGAACTGGCATGTCTGAGGTCCTGTGGTATGAGGTATGGTGTGTGATGCCTCTGTTTGACTGTGTGCGTCTTCCCAGCTGGCTCTGCGAGCAGGCAATGAGAAGGAGGAGGGGGAGACAGCGGACACAGTGGGATGCTGCTCTCTCAGAGTGGAGCACATTACACTGCACCGCAGGCTGGATGGCCAGGATCACGTGGTGGTGTTTGACTTCCTGGGCAAGGACTCCATCCGCTACTGCAACCAAGTGCCTGTAGAGAAAGCCGTAAGCTGTCTTCTGACAAATCTCCAGTCATGGGGCTTAAGCAGTGGCATGGGTTGCAGTGCTGCTGTTTGAACAAATTTAGTTCAGTTTCTGCCTCATTCATGAGGATGTTGTGCTACCAGCATTTTTTAATTATTTTACTTGCCAAAGACCTTAAACTTCATTTCTATTAACTTTATTATAAATGATTTTTTTTTCACCAAATTGGTTTCTTTGATACTAAGTACATAAGTGTACTATCCTTTAATGCAAGATCATTTAACTTTCCCTCCAGTTTTACCTTATTTTATATAGCATTCTAAATAATTTGCATGACTCAATGGCATTTCAGCTGACTTGCAGGTCCCATTTAAGAAACAAACCCCAAGATTCAGTGAGGTACCAGCTGTATTGTTCCCTGTGCTCTGTAAAATTGATCTCCCTTCTATTCTGATGACAAAAAGAAGGTCTTTGCATTTTTGTTAACTGTAATTGTGGATTTTGATCATCCCCCAAACAGGTGTTCAAGAATTTAAAGCTATTTATGGACAACAAGAACCCAGATGATGACTTGTTTGACAGAATCACTGTGAGTGCGTGTTTTATTTGTGCCATCATGCTGTTATCTTTTTCAGTTTGCCAAGCAATCTGGACTTCTGTTCCTTTGCTTTGTCTTTTCTTTACATGTGACACCACAGACCATTTATTTTTTTCTTTCCCCAGACTAGCTACTTAAACAAGTCCCTACAGGAATCAATGGATGGTCTGACAGCCAAGGTGTTCCGAACATATAACGCTTCCTTCACCCTACAACAGCAGCTGAACAAGTTGACTGATCGTATGTGTATTTCAACATATATAACTGTTTTGACCTCTGGTCTTAAACTGAAAAAGCTAAGTTAGTTTGATGTCTAACTTTATCTCCACAGCATTTCTAATTATCTAAAACTTTTATATAAGTACTGTATGTAAATATTCTGAAAGTATAGCCAATTTAAATTTTAAAATGGTATTCGGGTGGTACAATGTTTCCACTTTTCCTACAGTTCTGCATTAAGCCACTAATATTCTAAAATTTTCTTGATCAGGTTTTCTTAATCTTCAGATCCTTCCTTTTCTTCCACTCCAGAAATAATACTTCAGTTGACTCAATTCATAATCACTAATGTATTTTGAGAGTACCTTGGCTGGATGGGAAATCTTGGAGCACACAGCTTCTTTGTGGGGCGTAAATGTACAGATGCAGGCATTCAAAATGCGCGGTACAAACCCGCGGTACGGTAAACTACCCACAAGCCAAGGTAAGTGATTGGCTGGCCAAAATGACCGACAGGGGCACTCGTGGTGGATTGGTTGGTAGTGAAAAGATTTAATCATTTAATTTCTTTACTGTGCACATTTTAATCCGCTTAGTTTTGAATATTTATATGGAATTTTACCACTAAAGGGAAATTTTAGTAGCTGAGCATAAAAAGAAGAGGAGCATAACGCATCTGAAGGTCATAAACGATATTAATTTAGGAACATAAACAT